GTCAAGCAATGTTAAAAAATGATTTATCAAATTACAAAAATACAAACCACCCATAATTTCCGGGGATTGAAAGAATTCATCGGGATGAATATACCCAGGCGATAAAGCACAAATTAATCTCAAAAAGCATAAGAAAATATAGATAATAATGTTTTTCCAATCATACGTCATCATTCCTGGTTGCTACGATAGTGTATACATGTGTACCTCACACGTTAACAGTTCTTGAATTTTACACAATTGCAGAATTTCAAAATTGTAAAGTTACAGAATTGCAGAATTGAGAAAAAAATTATTTTATGCAGCTGATCGAATTATTCAGCCAAAAGTATTGTAACGTGATCTCTGGCGCAGTAGTCATTTTATAATTATATACATCCAAGAACACGGATATTCAATTGAAGGATTCAAAAATCTCAAAAAACATCAAAATTTAATTAATCACACTGAGATATCTTTGCTCAACTTTGAAAAAAAAAACTTAATCATCTTACTTTTTCCAAGACACATATCTCGACAAAACCTGGATAACTTTAATATTTGGGAACATTTTTGAATCCTACAGGCATATAGAATTCAGAAATGTTTTCAATTTAGAAATTATTTTTTTTTCTTAAGCTATCCTCGTTTTATAGCTTGGAAAAAAAATTAGATGATGTATATGTGTGCCTGCGGTGAGTCACGTTGCAGAACTTTTGGGGTTCAAAAAGTTGAACGCGGATCTTTCCGGATCAGTACCAATGGCCGCAGATATTTTTAACGCTAAAATATTTTAACGTTAAAAATTTGCGATTCATCGAATTCGTGCAAATCAACGATGAATTCATCCGAGGAACCGCTGCATCGAAACGGAATTGCACCTATTAAGCCAGAGTATATTTTATTTTCTTAAATGAGTCGTTATCCGCATATTTTAAAGGCTCAATTTAACACAATTCAATGTTTGTTCGATCAGATATATTATCAAAAAAGAAGATAAATTTATTAAACGAGAGAATACCACAGGAGTAGATCTTGAAGATACACCAAATGACACAGTACCTGAGGTTGTAAATCATATTGACATTCAAGAAATTAAATATTGTAACCAAATGCTGAATTTACGAATGCTCTAATTAGGAACCTCCGAAAAAGAAAAGTCGTATTACACGAACACGTGAATCAAATAGAAAATACAAGGAGCGTGCAGTAAAAACTTTCACTGAAGTTAAACGCGTGAGCAGTCTATGCAATTTTAATATGTTCAATAGATCAGGCTTAGATTCATTTATATTTCTATAATTTTTAGTTATGCCATAAAACTGCAGTTGGAGAAGATTGCGACTTTGATCAGTATGCTTGTAATTAAACATGGATTATATGAATTCATACTGTTACCAGATAGTCTTATAAAACGTTTCAATTGTTGTGGGTAGGTGTAAATACGATCATGATTTGAACGCTTTTTTGGAAATTAAAGAAAAAGATATAGGAGATCGATGTGTGAATTTCGAGAAATTTGGAAAGTAAGCACCGATAATTTTCAATTTTATCTTCATTATGACGAAAAATGTGTTAACGCTTTTTTTTTTTTTTTTTTTTTTTATACTAAGATGTCGTTATGGGTACAAGTGTCGATTTTCTAAGGCACATACGACCCCTGATGGAAAGTTGATTGTGAACGAAAAGGTAAATTTAATTCATTTAATATTCCATTCATTTATTCCATTCTTTCTTAATATTTATTTTGCGATCTATTCCTTAGCTTGCTTCATTAGGAATAATCGAAGAAAAAAATGGCCTAAAATATGAGCTGCAAAAGTTTCTCAGGAAAAACTTAGTATGTTATTAAAAATTTCGATTAAACTGTTGCTTCACTATCTAACATAATTTGTATATTAGTATAAATTTCCAAAATCTGACACATATCTTAAAGAAATTCACGGAGAGATTTCAAAGCAATTGGAAATTGAGGAACAGAACAAGTTAGCTAAATTGCAGACTACAGTTGCCGATAAGAGTGATCAAATGACTACTCCACAAAATCAAATCATAACTGATGATGTATCCACTGCGGAAGTAAATATTCAATCGACAGCGGAACTCATTGATAAGAATTTGGCTGTGCAAACACTTGGAGATGATAACAAAACTGTTTGCGAAATTAAATCAGATGATACCGTTTTAACCAGAGTTATATCTGAAGATTTTGGAACATCAAATGATACTCCTGACGTACCACTTCGTGCCTGTGAAAAGAAAAAGGTATTTAAACATAATTGTTTCAACTATCTTCAACTATTTCAACTGTTTTCTTCTTCTGACTTTATTGATTTTATTTTGCAAATTTCATATTAAATTCACAAGATATCATTCAAAAACAAGTTATATCTTGCACCTTTAACTACAGTGGGCAATCTTCCTTTTCGTCGCATATGTAAACAATTTGGAGCTGATATTACATGCGGTGAAATGGCAATGGCCACAAATTTACTTCAAGGGCAACAAAGTGAGTGGGCATTATTGAAGAGACATGTGAGTGAAGATATTTTTGGCGTTCAAATTTGCGGATGTAAGGCGCAACATATGGTAAAATGTGCCGAGGTATTGGCTAATGAGGTTGAGGTTGATTTTATCGACGTCAATTTGGGATGTCCCATTGATTTGGTTTATAATAAGGTAAATTTGGGGAACATCTTTACAAGCAATACAAAAAAAATTAGCTTATGTATTGTTTTGGACTTAGGGGGGAGGAACTGCACTTTTGCGGCATGATGGAAGATTAGGGAAGATTATTCGGGGTATGAAAAGGGTTAGTAGGAATTAATTATTTATCCGTTGTCTAATGTCCTTATCAAAAAAATTAAATAATTTGTTTCATCTTATTAAGGTTACGGATATACCAATCACTGTAAAATTGCGCACAGGTATTCAGGATGATATACCAGTTGCACATAAGCTTATGCCAAAATTCGAAAATTGGGTAAGCACTTTGCATAACAACATTTCAATTCGCTGTTGATCAGTGTACTAATATTTCTATTTTAATATTTAATTATTCAGGGCGTATCGATGGCTGCGGTTAATATTCCATTTTACACAAAATTTCATTATATTTCAAATATTTTAGACATCACATTTACTTTATTAACTTAAAAATAGTTACATGGTCGTTCACGCCAGCAACGGTATACTAAACTTGCTGATTGGAAATACATTTCTAAAGTTTCGTACACTGTAAATGAGATGCCACTATTTGGTAATATACCACTGTTACCTTCTTTTCGATTTATTCACTGAATATTAATTCTAAGTATTATTAGGCAATGGAGACGTGCTCGGATATACAGATTATTATGAACATATAGAAAAACATCACGTTGATGGTGTCATGATTGGACGTGGTGCTTTGGTGCGTCAATCTTAAATTTAGGTATTATGATTGCTTTTATGTCTGAATAAATATCTCATCAATGTTTGTTTATGATTATGAAGATTAAACCTTGGATATTTGATGAGATCAAATCAAAGAGACATTACGATATTTCATCTAGAGAAAGATTAGACATTTTGAAAAAGTTTTGCGATTACGGAATGGAACATTGGGGATCTGATTCCATTGTAATTTATCATCTTTTTGGATTTCCTATTATCATTTATACTACGATTTACTTTTTAATTTTTAATAAATTTTTAATAATTTCATAGGGGATTAATCAGACCCGAAGATTCTTTTGCGAATGGATGAGTTTCCTATACAGGTAAATAAAATATATGCTTGGTTATTTTACTATTAATGTTTAAATATTAAATTTAATTACTTTTAGATATATCCCCGTTGGATTACTTGAGGTCTTACCACAACGTATAAATGAGCGTCCTCCATTCTTCCGTGGAAGGGATGAACTAGAAACTTTGTTGGCTAGTGGAAACAGTAATGATTGGGTAAAGATAAGGTAAATTTCAATTAATATTCAATAATTTGTGTTAGAAAATAGGACTAAAAGAATACAATATCCTTCAATTTATATAGTGAGATGTTTTTAGGTCCAGCGCATGAGAGTTTTAAATTTGTACCAAAGCATGTCTCGAATTCTTATGAAACGAACTCTTTTGAAGGATAAAAATAGATATTGATTATCTGTAGCTTTTATGGTTTATTTCAAAATAATTATTATTATTAAAAGTAGAAATGTTAAATCGTTTTGCTCATTTGAAAATCGGATTAGTTCAATTATATAGTAAATTTTAACCGGTTTAACGAGTCTATAAATCCTTTTCATGTCTAATATAAAATGATTTAAAGAAAACTTAAATTGCATAAGATCTGTACCAGGGACACGAAAAAATTTGATTCCAAATTTGCCCAAGTAAATCCAAATTTTCGGCCAAGTTCTTGATTTTTATTGGTTAGTATCGAATACTATGTTCACCTGATTGGCTAATTTACGAGATGATAATTGGCCAATCAAATCCGTCAAAAATTTTAATATTAGTTTTGTTTTTCATTATAGACAGATACAAATAACCAGTGTTTAAATTCAAATTTATAATTACAGTATGTTCTAAGAAGAGCTAAATTTAAATTATTGGTGTTCTCGAAAAATAACTTCGTTAATATCAACTTAAAGCTATAAGATGAATTTTATATATTAAAATTCCCTCATATATATCAACTTTATTATAATCCCTTGTTAATATCACTATCAACATGAATTTAAA